CGACCTACAGAATGGGAGAAAATATTTGCATGCTATACATCCGATAAAGGACCGATAATAAGAATCTACAAAGAACTCAAGCAATTGAGCAAGAAAAAATCAACCCCATTAAAAAGTGGACAAAAGACATGAAAAGAAATTTTTTCAAAAGACAGAATAATGGCCAAAAAACATGAAAAAATGCTCAGCATCTCTAATCATCAGGGAAATGCAAATCAGAACCACAATGAGATATCACTTAACTCCAGTGAGAATGGCTTTTATCAAAAAGTCCCAAAACAACAAATGGTGGCATGGATGCAGAGAGATAGGAACACTCATACGCTGCTGGTGGGACTGCAAACTAGTACAACCTCTGTGGAAAGTAGTATGGAGATACCTCAAAGAACTGAAAGGAGACCTACCATTTGATCCAACAATCCCACTACTGGGTATTTACCCAAAGGAAAAAAAGACACCTGCACCTGAATGTTTATAGCAGCACAATTAATTGCAAAAATGTGGAAACAACACAAATGCCCATCAATACATGAGTGTATTAATAAAATGTGGTATATGTATACCATGGAGTACTACTCAGCCATAAAAAATGGTGAACTAATACGTCTTGTATTAATCTGGATGGAACTGGGAGACCATTCTTCTAAGTGAAGTATTACAAGAATGGAAAAACAAACACTACATATACTCACCATTAAATTGGTACTAATTGATTAACACTAATGTGCATATTTGGGAAGTGACATTCATAGGGTGTTGGGTAGGTGGGAGCGGGGAGGAGGAGATGGGTAAATTCACACCTAACGTGGTGTGCATTGTCTGGGGAAGGGGCATGCTTGTAGCTCTGACTTGGACGGTGCAAAGGCAATTTATTGAACCAAAGTGTTTGTACCCCCGTAATACTCTGAAATTAAAAAAAAAAAAATCCCTAAGCAATGCAATAAATCACAAAGGAAAATATAAACTGGCTACATAAAAGTTAAATTACGTAAGACTTTAATATGGCAAAATATGAAGGTCATAGAAACTGGGAAATATATTTTCCACCAAATGGCAAGGGATAAATGTATTTTGATATGCTTAATCTCAGTCCCAGCTGCCTCCTCTGTTTGAAATAG